TAATATGTGATATCGCTCGAGCAATGAACCTGAATTCTTTGTAAGATTTGGCCATCCCTCGATCTGAGAGTGCTTGTTGAGTTGTTCGATCATTGATTTATATTTTAGCGTAGTTTTTAAACGCTAATTTTTTTAATATTTCGCAAACAATTTGGAGAATAAAGGTAAAGACAGACCGGTAGCGACTGGTAGTTGGGAAAATATGAAATGCCTGAAAATATTTTCATATTTGGAAAATATGAAAATATGAAAATATGAAATGCCGGAATTCCGTGCCGGAATACCCGGAATTCCCGGAATGACCAAAAATAATATACTGAAACAAAAATTACCCAATAATTAAAAATGATAAGTTTGAATAAATAATTAAAAAATAACTAATTAAAAAGTAAAAATAAAGTGAAAATAAAAATTAAAAAGAAAAAAAAGAAAATCAGTTCTCCACAAGCAAAACCAAAAAATGCAAAATTTTCTCTCGTAAAAATGCAGAGACCACGTGACGTTAAAAATAACTACCTATGGCACTGTTCACGGAGATGCACATACTAGAACTACATGTAGCTTACAGCCTACAATATACAAACTGATGCCGAAGATTGCTTCAAGGTAAATAAACCAGAAGTGTGATTTATCATTGACAGACCTCAAGCACTGTGGGTTCTAAGTGGAAAAGGGGGTGTAAATACGATAAGTACTTGGTGAGCAAACCCAAAGTGCGACCGCGCTTAAAATCTGTCAGCATAAGCATTTTCTAATACCACCCAATTTTTGCAGGTTTCAAAAATTTTACAAATTTTAGAAATCATCAAAGACGCCGGTGTGCTTGGGTGGGACTGGCGGATTGTGCGTGTTGCAGGAGCGTGCTGCGGGAGCAAGCTCTTTTGTGTGTAACAGCCTTTAAGGTGGCTGAACACAGTTTTCGCGCGCGCTTTTGCTGATACAATTCAGCGCGCGCTCAAGGATTGCAAAAACCAAACATTCCGTCGATAGAGCGGTCGTTTTATTTACTCAACACGTATCCGCACTATCTGTGCTATTTTTCTCTATAGTTGGCGCACTGTATTGAGGGCTATAATCTTTTATTACAAAGACATGTAAGAAGAGTTAACGGTGCAAAGAACGCAGCAATTCTCAGCTCTTTCGTCGTTACCGAAGAACCCAGTTAAATGCAGCGCATCCGTAGTAAGTCAAAAAATGCGATTGAATGGAAAATTGCTCTGTCGTGGATAATGTGACCAAACGGACGTAAAGACAGCAGAGTGACAATAACTCTCAATAAAGAAACGACAACTTCAAATTTAAATTTACAAGACATGTTTCGACATTCTCATGTCATCTTTAGTTGCAAATGAGCTTTTAACGGTTATACATTTGAATTTATATTAAGGTACGTTACGAGTTACGTGTCCGGACTTACGTTACAGTTTGATTATAAAATGAAAATAGCTCGCTCATAACTACACCAAAAAAAAATTATAATAATAATAATAATAATAAATAGATAAATAAATAATAAAAGACGTAAGAAACAACACAATTAAAAGGAAAGAGATAAATCTAGATGCTTCAATTGCTGATTAAGAATGGGTTTTTCCCACTTAATATGCAATGTCTCTTTGATCTTAATTTGGAATTTTGAGGTGGCAGAATATAACATCGTGAAACATTCTGTATCACAAGAGTAAAGACAGGCCCTTGATGATTGAAGGTGTCTGTAAATATGCGAAGACTTGTCTGACAAGAGGTGCTCACGAACTCGTGTACAAATGTGGCGAGTGGTCTCACCAATGTAACTGGTAAAATTGCTCTCTAGGCAATATGCCTATTTCTTGAGAACCACTCAATAGAATTAATTCCACGGAATTTGGCACGAAAATTCTTTAGGAAAACTGGAGTATTGAAAAAAATTGATTTTTAACTAAGGAAATTCTAGATAATCGAGAGAACCTTCAACAAGGGATAATGAAAGATCTCTCTGATCACTTGTTAGCAAAATGGTGTCAACTTGTGAGTATCGTTACAAGCTCTTTCATGGAAATTATAAACAAAATCTAATGACTAGATTTTCTACAAATAAACAAAACTGAATTTAAAGGCCTGTTTATGTTTATTCATGTCACCATGGCAACGGTACATACGTCAGCTTAACTATCAAAAAACAAAGTTTGCGTTGTTAACTTGCCTACTGCCAGTTTTGGCGACCGAGAGATCAAGGGTGTTAGAGAAAATGGTGAAAGAAAGACAAGTATCAAAAACTGTGTTTAGCCACCTTAAATTCGACTGTTTTAAATTAGACTGTTTTAAATTAGACTGTTTTAAATTAAATGCGACATTCGCCGTATCTGTGACTGAAACAGTCGAAGATTCGACTTAGGTTCGACTTTTGAATTAAACGTCGCATCTCACATTTGCCGAACTTACTGGATGAACTATAGGTAATATCATGATTCGTTTATTACCCACAACTCGCCAGGAATTCTGTGAATGCCAAGGGCGAAAAAGCCACAACAGCACAAAAAATGGCGTGAGACGAAGGAATTTGTAGTTCTTACTTTGCAAAGACAATATATAGTTGTTTGACGTGCGGTAATTACTTTTGTATGAGGTGTTCGGTTATTGAAAACGAAAAGGGCACTCCTAGGTGGAAAGTAGGAAAATTTGTGGCATATTGTGGGTCGTGTTTGAAGTGATGGAACGTGAATCAAGTCAAAGTATAATGACGAAAAGCCAAGATGACGATGCAAAAACAAAGAGCGAAACGAAAGCATCAGTAAAGCAATTAAGCAAACGCTCAATAGATGTCTTCGCCTAGAAAATAAGTAGTGCGCCTGGGAATATTAACAGCGAACAGAGTTAAATTCGACAGAGTTAAAATCGACGTTTAAATCAAATGTCGTATTTAATGATTTTAGTCGACTAAAATAGGAGTTACTAGGTTTAGCACATGTGAATGATTTGACGTTTGAACTGGACCTAAGAGTTCAATTTCGACTCGGAATTCAAGTTGAACTTCGAGTTGCGACGTTAATATGAGAAGAAAGTCCTTTCATGCACAAGTGAAATTTTTAAAACAAAGGTAGGTTTTGCTCTTAACAATAGAAAAGGACCACAGAAACGAACCAGAAAGGAAACTGTCACCATTTGTCACACAAGATGACTTATCAGCGCCTAATTATAACTAACAGAAAATCGATGGGGCAGTAGTTTTTAATAGAAATTCAAACTCCACCCAGAGAAAAATCGAAGTTCTTGCCAGTAGAGGAGAGGAAAATGTGTGAGAGGAATTGATTTGTAAGAATAGAGCTGTAAGTGCCAATCAGAACACAGCGATAAATAACACGCGGATGAGAGCAGTGATAGAAACGTCAATAGCTTTCATTATCATAACTCTAAGTCGAAGTTTGAGCCCAAGTTCAACCAGCACTCGTTGAAGAAGTTCTTCTTTACACATTGATATTTAAGAAGGTAGAACAACTTAGAATATACGAGGTTGAAATTCTAAATATATTTGCTATGTATGTTTCGAGGTCTGAA